CTTATTTAAAAATGTGACATTTTTCGCAGTTGTGTTGGTAGGGAGCGTATTTGAAGAATATGTTTAGTGACCATTAAAGCAATTGATGAGAAAATCTGATAATTGAATATATTAAGTGACATTGTATGCAGTTGTGTTGGCATGTATTGTGGAGTGTTGGATCAAAAACTAAACATCTTTGTTAATGAACATGTTAAATAACATTGTAGAATGTTAAATAACAAGTACAAACAAAGAATGTTAAATAACAAGTACAATAAAGTTAAATAACAAGTTAAATACCAAAGGCGACCAACAAGCCCTCCAGTGGTGTATTCTGAATTCAAAGACGATGAGTTTGATTACAATTATAAAGTTTTAATCATTTTTAAAATATTGTGAAATTAGGAGGAGTAAGCGGAGATATGGCTGACGAAATATTTCAAATTAATTTGAATTGTATTTACAAAATAAAATAACCGGCATAAATAAATTATGTTATGCAACGAAGTTACCTTATTATAAATACTCCAAGCTATCGTTAAAGACAATTATTTATATTAATCTCAGAACGTATGCAGAGAAGCATTATTTGCAATGACAATGCAAGAAGTTCGAATTAACGTAGGGTTAAATGACCTCAGCTCGTAACTTAAGCCTCGTCTTCTCTGTATCTCATTTAAATTGAAGATTAGTTGCCTTTTTTGTTATTATTCAGCCATCGCCCTTGTGTTTAAAATCCAAGGATTTTTTTTAATACTTCATTTTGATGCATTGTGCCAGGTCTTAAATGACGACTGTAGCAAAAGAATAAATCTAAAACTTAGTTGACATTTCTGGATTTCTTAGGTTTTATTTTGTATCGTGTAAGATAGTTGCCGCCTTGATTTTAAATCCGCGACCTACATTGTGTTATCTAGCAATTTAACAGATTTTCTCTTAAGTAGTTTTATAAGTGTCACTTACAGTAACTTTATTTGGTTTAATTTCCATACCGTAAGTACGATTTAATCAAAACTATAACTTAAAAATATAAATGATATTCATATATAAACTAATTGATTGTGAACATTTTCCTTCCTTTTCAAGTTTAAACAAATTTTTATCAAATTTAGACAAATTTTGAAATTTCCAATGTTAAAAGATCTTTTATTGATGTTGGTGTAAAAAAGGAGATATTTTTTTAATACTAAGTTTGGTTGTTTATTCAATTTCAGTATTATTTAAAATGAATAAAAGTTTATACTTAGACCTTACGACTGCATAATGGACCTTAATAATTAATAATGGAGAAATTTTTTTTTATAAAACCATACATTTTTAGACGTCTATTTGATCTATTTCTTTTAGACGTCTATTTTATCTATTTCTACCACAGTCTGTTCTGTGCAAATATGGAACCTAAACTATTTTGCAATTCATTAACTTTCCTCAAAAATACACTAAAATAATAATAGTTAAATACCATTGAAATGTATGTAACTGAACATTAATGAAAAATAATTTAAGATGTTAATATATTTAATGGCTGAAATTTAAAATATCATTTAAATACTAGGAGTAAAAAATCTATGTCGAAGAAAAATAGTTACCGCTTTTAATAATTCATTCAAATATACAGCCAATGAGTAGTTATGAAACTTTATTATTAAAGCTGAATAAATTTTATTCAAATAGCAAATGATTAATAATAACGAGAAATATTTACTTCTTTGAATTTATTCCAATATTCAGTAAATTAAGAACAATATTAAACGCTTTATAATTTAAAATAGCAAAACTTGGACAGCATTCAAATAGGGTTTGATTGATTTATTGTAACAATCCATACGTTAATTTAGCTTTTTTTTATTTTATTTTTTTATTAAGTAAACTGTAAAAATTATACGATTTTAAAACTTAATTTAGTGTAGATAAAAAAGAATATAAAAAAATCTTAATCATAAAACAAAAATAATAAACCATTCTAAACTTCGCCTTGGACAATTGATGTTCAATAGATAGATATTCACAGCACGTCCTCACACCACGTGACCTTGCTGAAGATATCTAAGCTGCATATCAATATACCGCTTAGAACTGGTTCTCTCTCTTGCCCCCTCTTTCTTTTTTTAACGTAATATATTTTATTAATTTTTATTTATTTATTATGTTTTACATTACGAACGTTAATTTCAACAGGTCATATTCAACTCTGTAAATCTTTGCTACGAGTATAAATTGAAATTCGTAGCGCTCTTGTATATCACTAATAATTTTCAGTTACTCGTTTTTTTTCTTACTGAATCTTCAATAATTCACCTATTTATTAAATAATAAGTTATTATTATAGCTTTCTTACAACTTCTAAGTGTTCAATTATATTTTATTGCTGCTATAAACTTTTAAGTCATAAAACATAGGTAACGTGTAGGGAAACCACGTTTACTTGCTTAAATACAGCATGCTATTGAAATTTATATAACATCGAATATTCGGAAATATTGGTGTTGATTTGATATATTATCTGTTTAAGGCGTCAAGAATTGAGCGTCAGATTTAAAAATTTTTTTAATGGTTACGATATCTGATTGTTATTAGTGAGACTTTGCATAGATTAACCGTAAAGATAACTTTATTTTATAAATCCTTAGCTACCCTGCGATTTGTTTGGAAATTTTCACGCATGCGCGGTGAATCTGAGTTACGGTAAGCCACAACTCTTTCCAAAATCTCCATTGTAATTAATCAGATTGACAAGTTGGCCTTAAATGGCTAAAAACATGGAGTTTCCTCATCTTCTGGGTTCGGTTCAAAATTTTAAGTGTACGCATTGAAAGCTGCAAATTTAATGATATGGGTTTACCGTTCATTGTCGGGAATTAAAAAGATCTTCTCAAGAAAGGCTAATATTTTCTAATACATCATTTATGAATTCTTTTGTTTTCTGAGTCACGTTTAAAACAAAGTTACTGAGTTTTTACATTTTAAATGGCACATTTATGATGCCTGTTTATAATTTTACTGGATTCCCTTTACGTGTAATTATAGGAAGTTTTCTTGTCTTCTGAGTTTGATTCAAAATTAGTATGATTCATAAATAAAAGGTTACCTCAAATTCTTACTTGGATATATTGATTAATTGGGGGGAAAGAACAACGCGCGTAAATAATGCACCCTTAATGTTTTGTTAAGATATCTTTAACACATTGAATACTTTTTTAATTGCATGTTTCTTAATTAAAAAATCAATTGGAATTAAAAATTGGTAAAAAAAAGGACATTGACTATTACATTATATCTATGTCGATTTCCAAGTTAATTATTTAATCTTAAACCTTACTTTCACCAAGGCCGTTGAACTATTTCAACCGAGTATCGTCTTAAGTGCCACGTTTATGAGGAGATTAGATATTCCAACAGTTCGTAATATACTGTATGCAAAAAAAATGAGGCTCTCTCTTGATTCATTTCACTCAATTTTGCCTCAGTAGATGTATTCATTTTTTTTTCTTCCTCTCTCTATTAAAGTAAGTTTATCTTTACTTATTGATTTATGTGCTATCCCGGGCTTGGTGTTTGAAAGCTTAAAAAAACGAGCAATGTCCAAGGCCTTTCTGTATCGCTCTCGGTTGATTTGTGAAAGCTTTTTTTGTATGCGAGAAACTTTTTATCGCTATGGCAGTGAACTTTAACCCTCTTTATCTTGGTCACTCTTCTCTCTCAGCAGCGCAAACGGGTCGAGTCTTTCTGCCACTACCTGATCCTTTCAATCCTTTCATGACTAAAAATTCTCATCCGTTTTCGGATGAGTCCGAGATTGGATCCTTTCCGACATTGTCGGCCCCCATCTAGGTACTCCATTGCACAGGTTCGTTTTTATTTTGTGTTATTAAAGTTTAATATTTATTTTTTAAATATCGTTTGATTTTTTTTAAAAAAATATCGTTTGATTTTTTTTAAACCTTATGATTATCGTCTTCGTTTTCTTTCCTTTTAATCGTTTTTTTTATTTAAGCTTTTGTTAACTACATATGTCTTGTTTCTTTAAACCTTTAATTTTGATACTGTAATAGTTAAGTTTGATTCCGATTAGATTTCGATGCTAATCAACGTGTAATATCTGTTTTAGAAAACAGCTGTTCTGCCGAATCTATAACAGTGTTGTTTAAGAGTGTATTCTGTATCATTCGGTTTCGCAATTGAAATCAATTGGAATTATTTTAAAAAATTATTTTTTTGAGAAATAATTAATTTTTACAAACAATATATGACATGCATACTTTTACATACACGTATTTATGATTTAATCGAACTTTATATTTACATTATTTAGTTTACTATTTAAAACGTTCGTCTTAAATCTTTGGTTTTTCAAGCTTCTGAAATCATTTGGTTTCTTAACAGATTCATTATTTAGTATTTCAAGCCCTAATTCTTTGGTATTACATTATATTATTTGGTATTTTTTGTGGAAGTTCTATAAAATCGTTTGGTTTCTGCTAACAGCTGTTTTGTACCTAAATTTTTTGTTTTTTTCCTCTCAAACTTGTTAATCATTTTATTTGGTTTCCTATCTTAAGTGATTGTTTCAAATATTTTGTAATTTGATCCAATTAATAACATTTGTAAATAGTTAAGTTTGATTCTAATATTGTTAAGTATCACTAGGATTCGTTTTATTAGAAATTTCTTTTATTTATTCATGATTTCATATTTAAAACCAAAATATCTAGAACCAATCTTTTTTTGAAAAAGTTTTACAAATTTATTGAAATTTTTTTTTAATGCAGGTTATTTCATTAATTGTATTTTCTTAATACTGGACCCTATTAAAAAAAACTTGATTTTTTTTTTGTGCGTTTGTTTAAGACAGTGGTATTTTTTTTATAATTTTTATCATTACACTTATTAAAACATTATTCTGTTGTAAAAAACTATTAAGTTACCTTAATTTATATAATCTTCAAAATTTTAAATTAGGATGAATTAAGAAATTAAAAAATTTAATACATTATAAATATGATTATTTTCTATTTCAGAAAATGGGCATTAAAGAAGAATATTACCAAAAGGCCATTTCTGCTGGGGTAGAACACCTCAGTTGTGGTGCTGTAAGTATTTATTTTTTTCCCCCTTTTTAATTCATTAATAGCAAAAACTTTTCATTTTTTGTCGTAAATAAATCTAAATTTAAAAAATATACATTCTTTTTTTAAAAATTTTATTTATCTAAGGAAGAAAAAAAACAAAAAAGTTGTATTTTTCGTTACTCCTGGATGTAGATATCTTTATTCAAATACTTATTTTATTATTTTTTAAAAAGTTGTGTTTGACTGTTTAATCATTTTGTAAATGTATCGTTATAAGTAAATGTAATTAATATTTGACTAAATGGATCATTGTAAATAAATATTGTTGAAAAAACAGTAAATATTGTTAAGACATAGGATATTTCAGGTCTTAAATCTTTTACCTGTATTTGTATTATCTTAGTATTCATTCCTCATGTCCTTTTTTTCTTGACATTTATGTATCTTTTTTAATGCAAATTACATGCTTTCATTTTCTGTTGAAAAATTTTTAAACTTAATGTTTATTGTATTAAAACAGTCAAATATTGTTGATTTACTTGCAGTTTTTAAGATTTTATTTATATTAATAAAGTTTTAAAATTGCGTCTTAATTAAATTTGAAGATTTAATTATATTAAATCATGTACAAAGTGTTGAAAAATTTAAGAAAAAATTTATTGAAATAATTAAAATTAAATCATTATTATTAAAAACTAAAAATAACAAAAAGAAAGAAATTGATGGGAAAAATTTTATGAGTAAATAAAAACTTCATAGCTTGAAAAGAATAATTCAAATTTTGAATAGTTTTATAAAAAATGCCAGTAAGAAAAATGTCCTTTGGATATTACAAACTGGAACAAAAAAGTATAGTTTATTTTTCAAAAAATAAAATGTGAAAATCTAAATTTAGTGTACACATTTTTTTTTGTTCAAAATTTTATTATAATACAATAATTTTATTATTTCATATTATGTTTGTCTTTTTTAAGAACATTAAATGATAATGAATTTGCTTACAATAATTTTATTTTATGTATTAGTTGTATTTTTTAATTTTTTATTTTAATATTGAAATGATCATGAATTCGATTATAATAATGTTATTTTATGTTATAATTGTATTTTGCAAATACAATTTTCAAAGATTTTAAATTAAAAAAATTTTATATAAAATTTTTTTGGCTTTGAAATTTAATTACTTGTTATTAATTTTGGAACTGACATCATATTTTTATTCAATTTAGAATCCAATGCAAAGTAGTTCATTGTTCAAAGAAGATAGTAAGTTCCACTTAATTATTTATTTTAATATATTTGTTTTATTTATTTTTTACTTATATCTAATTTATGGTCACATTTTTAGGTGTATCTTCAACTACTAAACTTTTTGAACCATCTTTATTGCACTGCGAAGAGTGCCATTTACGTTTTTACAACTTGATGCATAAGACTCACTTGTGTCAAGGTTAGTTGTTTTAGTTGTAGAGTATAGTAGTTCTTTGTCTTATTAATTGATGAAAAAATTAACACTTCTAATTTTTCATATAAAAATCTGCTTTCATTCTTTGCAGCAGTAGTTTTATAATGAGCTTTATAGAAACTTTTAACATTCTTAAAAAGCTAAAAATTTCATTACAACTGCAAAATTTATATTGGCACTTTAAATTAAATAAACATCTATAAAATGTACCACAGCTATAAAATGTACCTGTTCTTAAAAAATATTAGTCAATTTTTTTCTTATCATTATCTTGTAAATTTACTGAAAACTTTTGCATTCTAAAATAATAGTGCATAAAAACAATGATTTATCATACTATAGTGTAATATTTTAAAAGAAATTTTAATTGAAAATGATTAATTTCCTGATAAAATATTTTGATTTATAAATAAGTTTTTTACAGGAATAATTCATTACTCTTTTTGCTGTAATAAGTAGCTTTAAACTTACATTGCCTTTCATTATTGCAGAAGTAAATTTCTATTAATATTTCTTTTATTATTATTCTTATGTCTGCAAAAATCAAAAGTATTTTAAAAGTAAATTTTAAAGTAATGTATAAAAACAATGATTTATTATACTATAGTGTAATATTTTAGAAGAAATTTAATTCAAAATGATTAATTTCTTGATTAAATATTTTGATTTATAAAGAAATTATGATATATCTTCCATTGATTGAATATTAAATATTTTTATATTAAAATTTAAAAATTGTGTTGAAATTAATTAATAACTGGCAAATGCTTTGTTTTTAATTGTCATCACAAGTTTATTAAGTTATTTATTGTATAAAATGTATCTTAATAATTTCAAATGCTATGAATATTTAGCTCTTTTCATTTTACAAATATTTATTAATTTGAAGGGAGCTAGAAAAATAGTGATTAGTGTAAAGTTCCTATAATTATATAACAATGATTCCGTCTGAAACTTATTGGCTGCCTTTTAGTGAAAAAACATGAGAAAATGTGATAAACAATTTATATAATTCCAATTTGTTACAAATTTAATAGAAATTTTTATTCTTTATTTTAGTCTGTGGACACTGTTCACACAACTCAAGCAATTTCAATACACTCTGCACTTCCCAGAATAAGCATGAGAAAAATTCTGCTGGTAAATATGCTTTTTTTCTATTCACTGACTTGAATTATGATGTAGTGATTAGGATTTGCTATATATTTTAGTTTATTTCTATATGTATTCATATAAATTATTTTTAGTTCATTTGGTTTTTACGAATAAGAATATAACAAATTTTATGAACTAACAAGCAATCTGTCTCATTAAATAATCATTTTGTTTATTATGTTTGGTTATTGCCAGTTATTGGATACCCATAGTTATCCAACCATTGCTAAGCCCCTACTGGAAGATATGTCACTAATTCATTTAATTAATGTTTGGGGTTTATTCTTTTAGAATGTTTAAAGTAACAAAATAGCTTTTTTGCTGAGATATTAGCTCTCTTAATTAAAGTTATTCTGCGTTCATAAAATATTCTTGGTTATTTCTTATATGTGGACTCTTGTCAGACATTGTAAGTAAAATATTTTAAGAAAATTTTTAAAAAAATCTTAAGTTAGTAGTAGGGTAACATTTTAAATTCGCTCTATGTTTATTGTGAAAAAATATTTAAAAGATATAAAATTCCTATAATTTAAGAAAATAAAAGTAAAGTAACCATTTTAGTCAAGAATATAAATATGATATCTAAAGGAATATAAGTCTGATAATTGTCTGATCATTTAAAAACTCAACAATATTGTTAAAAGTAGTAATTACTGTATGCAAATATCTGGAGCAACTAGTAAATATTTTGAATTAAGACACTTGGTTAATTCTGTTCTGTGTGCAATTGTTAAATTTTTGGTTAGTTTTAATGAGCATTTTCTTAAGTTTCCACCTGTGTTAAAAAAGATAAATGCATGTGTGCCTGTGCTTAAATTTAAATATTTCTGAAGAATGTATGCATCATTGAGTGCTAGTCATCCAACCATTCTGCCTGTTGCATCAAGGGATTAAACAGGTTTTTTTTCTTCTACTTTTTGCATTGAATCCTTTTTTGATCACTTTTGTCCTTGAAAACACACGCTGACTTTCATGAAATGAATATAGATGAGATGGCAAGGTCAGCATATTTTTAAATTTAACCCTTTCTACCATTTTTTAAGCTCAGCTGATTGAGTGGGATTTTCAAGTTGTAACATTTCTGTGTAAAAGGGTTTATAAGCTGAGTTTAAGAACTTTCTTGAAGAAACTATATTTCAATTGGTGTTCATTAATCTTGTGGTGTTTTGTTATACATAGAAAGTGCAAATTTAAAACTAATCTGGTATCATGCAAATACTTTTTTTTCTGTTAGCTACTTAAGTTGTATCAAATATTACATCACATTATAAATTTCATTTACACACAACAAATTATTTTTAATACCTATTTTTGGCTTGATCACTTAATTCTGAAATAAGCTTCTAATAATAACTTATATTAATTTCTTTAATTCACAAATAATTTAAATTCTTAAACTTGTTTTATATTGAATAATTATTTTTTACTTCTTTGTCAGAAAAACTTACTAACAAGAAATGAATTATAAATTATACTTACTAGCAAGAAATTATTTTTAAATTCTTATTTTTAACTTTATACTGAATAATTAATTATAAATGATTTGTTAGCATTTAATTCTGAAATTAACTGCTTATGATTAAAAATCGAATAAGGCACAAATATTAACAAATATTTCATTAACTTAAAACAAATTTTCATGAATTTTATTTTGTGTAGACAAACTAATTTTTTCCTTATTTATTTATTATATATTTTTTTTGGTGGGGGGGGGAGTACAATCTTCTAATAACTAGACAAGCCATTTAATGAAGGTTTATTAACAAATCGAATTAATTACTTTTGTTACTTTTACTACTTATCACCATATTTGAATAAAAATGACATTTTCATTGTTTAAACTTACATGAAATATGTATTCCTTTAATGTTAGGGAATTTCCATGTTGAAATTTTTTCTGGAGTTTAAATTTTAGTTTCTCCGGAATTATATTGATAGGAATTTAATTCACTATTTTCAGAGATCTTAGGAGATATGTTCATTTAATTTATTTACTATTATTTTATTAAAAATTGCACTTTTATTCTTTAAACTTACGTGAAATCTTAGCATTTACAATATTTACTATTTTGTGAGCTTTACTGTTATTGCTTATTTTATAGCTTAAAATTAAAAAAAATTTCCAGAATTTATATTAAAAAAAAGAATTCTTTTTTTATTACCTAGGCAAAAATCTTAATGCAAGTGTTTATTTTATTCCTTATATTTTATGGTAAATAATTGGTATTTTACCAATAATTGAGGCTTTATTAGCTTATTTCCTAAAGAAAAGAATCTAATACAGTAGGGAACCGATTATCCGGAACGATCGGGACCATAGCTATTCCGGATAACTGATTTTTCCAGTTTTCTGAATCGCTACAAAAACCGTTTTTTTTTTATTGCTAAACCCAACTAAAAAAAACAAATATTTTTGGAAATAATCTTAAAAAGAAGAAAAAACGATGAAGTAATACACTAATGATTATTTCCAAAACGATGGTAAGGTAAACATCTTTCGAAAAAGAAAGAAAAATCCTAAAATCCTATGAGGAAAAAAAATTTTTTTTTAAAAAAATGGCGGGAAAACTTATTGAATTTCGTTCCGGTTTTCTGATTTCCAGATAACGGGTTCTGTACTGTATTACTTTTTTTTTCTTTTCGTTTTTATTTTGTCTGAAGATTTTTTCAGTTAATAAATTAGCTGTTTTACTGTTCATCTGATATTATTCCTATTAATTAACAGTTCGGATGATTAATTTTTTTTAATTAACTGGTTTTTCATTTTTTCCAGCTTCTTTGGGACAAGATTTGTCTTTAGAATTCAATGTGGCTGATCAGCATGCCCCAACACTAGTCCTAAAATATATTCAAGAAATTGAAACCCTAGCAAAACAAAATAAAGGTAATATTTTAATATCAGTAAATTTATTTTTAGAGTTTTCAAACTTTTCTTAGTATTACAGATTGAATGTAAATTTAGATTTAATGAGAAATTATATTATATTTACAGTTTTAACTTGATTCAGAAAAAAAAAAAAAAATTTTTTCTGTATTCATTTTTGCTAAAAAATTTTACAAGTTATTTCTATGTTTTTTTAAAAAGAAATTAACAAATAATTTATCAAAAAATTCATCTTAAACTATCTTTACCGCTTAATTCATCTTAAACTATCTTTACCCTTAAAGTCCCTGGATAGAATTGTACAAAAATTTTCCTGCTATGCACTACTCTCCCATTAAATTTCATAGCAGAAACCATTTTTTATTTTATTTTTATTTTTTAAATGCGGGAAAGCTTGCAGCTAAAAGTTTTAAAAAAAGCCGAAACTCATGCTCAGCAGGGTTAACAAAATATTTTTTATAATGTATTTTTCATAAACTTTTATTCAGGGCCAAAACCTAGAATAGTCAGGGAATTTTATTTTGACTCTAAAAATCAGTGAAAGTTGCATTTCTTTTTTCTTTGCAAAAGCCTGAAAAATACAGTAATCAGTTATTGAGATTCAAGTCAAATAATTCTAACATCCTTTATAAATATTTATTGTTAAAAATTTCACATTTTTGTGAAGCTTTTCTACTTTTCCATACTCATCCAATATTATTTTGTTCATAAAATCGAATATTCGACATTACAAAAAGGAAAAATCAAAGTTTTCTGATAAGAAATTGCATAGTGCAGATTAAACATGATCTGGATTTTCTTTGAAATTTTCCTAATATACTTGGAAAAGTTACGGAATTTTATTTTTTCTGAAATGGAGGGGGAACTCTGATGCATGTATTATGAGGAAATTAAATTATTTATGCCCTATTTTTAAGAATTTACTTAATAACCAATGTGTGCAATGGGCAAACAGTTATATTTTTTCCTATTTGCAGATATTGATTTATACTTAGCCTATAAAACACACAATCATAGTCACACTCAACTTAAAAGCAAGCAAAGACAAAATGAAGGTAAATGTAATTCTGCTATTATTTCTTTTCAATGTAGTGTTTTTACGTAAAAACTATTTTTATATTTGTCATTGATTTTATTTAAAAAAATTATTATTTATCCTTTATAGTTTTTGTAGATAAAACATCCTCATACATTTTTTGATCTCAAATATTGAAAAATTACTGAATTTTAATTGATTGAAAAAACTTCTTTCATTAAAATAAAATGTAGCTATAAAGATTTTTTAACTGCAAAGCTACTATGCTTAATTACTAAAGGGAACATAGGTTATAAGTCGCAAAAATATTATTATTATTTTTTTTAGCTTCACTGAGATTTAAATTACTTTTTTTTGTTAAATATTACAAATTTGACAATTATTAGTTACATTATTTTAAAAAAGGTAATAATTAAAATAAAATACAGCTACTCTACAAAATTTAACACTTTTACTTAATTGAAATACATAATTTATTATAACTTTATCTATAGTTTATTATAGTTATTAGAAATTAAGTTTATGTATAGTTGATTTCTAATTAAGGAGCCATTCAAATATTATGCTTACATCGTAAAGGAGAAGAAATTTTCAAATTTCATTTTTTTCTTCCTTTCTTGCAGTGGGTATAGTTAAAGCAATGCCTAAATTTGACTCAAATTGCCATAGGCTAAAAGAAGAAAAAAGAAAGAGAATAAAGTTGTAATTGTAAAAAATTTTGTGTAATATAATAGTTTATTAAAAAAACTTTCAATGCATAGAATAGTTAAATTTTGTTGAAAATGTGCATTTGTAATATTTAAACAGCTTTTTTTATTACATTAACTTATGCCACTCTACTGTATTAATACAAATAGCAATTTCAATTGTAGATACCAAAAACGTAGAGTTCAAGGGATATCCTCTCTCTTGCATAACCAGTGCCTTAATCAAATACCTTCGGGAATTGCCCAATCCTGTGATACCTGTTAAAAGCTATGAAAAATTTGTTGATGCTTCTAGTAAGTAGATTCTTTTTTTTGAATATGTCGCATATTAAATGTGCTAATAGTTCCTGTTTAAAAATTCTCTGCTATTCTTTCAGAAATTCATAATGACAAGCAATGTGCCATGTACTTAGGAGAACTTGTTCAGAAATTGCCAGTACACCACAAAGTAACTTTGCAAACATTGATGGCTCATTTCTGCAAAGTGTGTTCTTTGCAATATTCCAGAGGATTTAAAAGTTTTCCAGATGCCATGATTAGAATCCTGAGTCACACGTTGCTCCGTCCAGCTTGGGATAAAATTGAGTAAGTTTCTTGTGTATTTATTTTGCTAATTTCCAATCAATCGTCAAATGTAACTTATAAAATTTGAGAAAAATCTCTAAATTTGTAAAGAATTAGTCAAAGTTTAAAATGCTAAAAATTATGTTTAAATTTGCTTAAATCATCCTATTCAAACTTCTCCAAAGCTCACATTTGCTCAAAATGTTAAATTAAAAATAAGATTTAACCTACTGTGTAATAGCTATCTTTCACAAAATTGCAAATAATTTATTTTTAGGCATATATGTCTGAAAGTTGGTCTTTTTTATTTAAATTTCTGACATTTTTAAATTATGTAAGGTGTATAAAAAAAACTGTTTTGAATTTTAAGTTAATAAAAATTTATCCAGAAAAAATTTGCTTCAGTATCTAAATTGCTACTCCCAACACCATTAAAAAATGCTGTTCCCCAACACCCAATCACATCACAAACATAAATTTAATTAGTGTTTCCAAAATTTAATCTTTGTCTCAATTTGTTTTGCTGCATCAGAAAAAAAATTATTTTTCCCTCTATATTTAATTCAATTATTTTTTCATTTCTGTTTGATTGGACCTTCTTTCCACTTTCCACTTCTTTCCACTAAAATTTTGGTAAATATTAGAAAAAAAGAATTATAATAAATATTTATTTAAGAATCTACATGCCTGTCTATTAAAAAATAATTAGTACAGTAGGGAACCGATTATCCGGAACGATCGGGACCATCGCTATTCCGGATAACAGATTTTTCCGGTTTTCTGAATCGCTACAAAAAGCCGTTTTTTTTTATTGTTAAACCCAACTGAAAAAAAATTTCAAATTTTGGAAATAATCTTAAAAAGAANTTTACCTTACCATCATTTTGGAAATAATCATTAGGGTATTACTTCATCGTTTTTTCTTATTTTTAAGATTATTTCCAAATTTTTTTTTCTTTTTAGTTGAGTTTAACAATAAAAAAACGGCTGTTTGTAGCGATTCAGAAAACCGAAAAAATCAGTTATCCGGAATAGCGATGGTCCCGATCGTTCCGGATAATCGGTTCCCTACTGTATAATCAATGTAGAATAATTAATTTGTTAAACATTTGAGGCTTAGTTTAACTTTAAAAATGTCTGTTGATATTTTAATTAACATTTCATAACCATTCAAGATAATATTATATATTTGGATTTTTTTAAATTTATTTTAATCGATGCCTTTTGAGAGATTTCAGGTTATTGTATTTATATAAATTATTTCAATTCTTTTTTCCTTAAAAATACTCTACTAATGCATTTTTAACTATTTTGCTTTCAATTTTAATTATTGCATTTTAGAATTCTCTGTTCTGTGAAGTAACACTTTTTTTATTTGGAATGTTTTTATTGCATTTTTTTTATTTAAAATTTTTTTATCGTGAGATTTTTTTGCAAATTTATTTAGCATTGTGTATATTAACATTGTTTTTATGATATTGTTTTAGGCAACTTATTTCAAACTCAGAAGCTCACATTAGGATTATTAAATTGCTTCTTTTGAAAGGAGAGTGGGGAGAAAAACTACCAGATTTTGCATCCCAACCAAGTACATATGATTCTTTATTTTGTGTTCTTTTCATTGGTAATATCCTTATTAATTTTATTAAATAGAAAACAAATTTTTTTTAATAGGTCAACTACCACACATGGCTGTAGTTATGGCAGACAACATGCAAGTTTCCATTCCAATGGACTTCGAAAAGCTTCAAATAGCCGAAGATTGCCATAAATCAGAAGACAAAGCTCTTCAAGAAGCTGAGTGGTTTTGGGGAGACATTTCACGGTAAGATTTTTAAGGTTTGATCTTTAACCGAGTCTGCCTTGCTTTCTTTTATCGATACAGAGCTATAAGTATTCCCTCTTCTAAAAAAGTATACTAACGTTTTTGAAAGAAGGTTATTTACCTTTCCAGACTATGCCTATACTCATTCAGTTTGCGGGTAAAGAGATCTTCGATCTTGGGTCTTTTGCTTCAGATTAGACTGAACATACCCTGTTTGTGATGCTGTATCTGCTTAAGACTATTAAGCTCTTTTGGATATTGGGGAAAACACTATTTGTACAGAACTGTCTTTTCTTTGTATTGAAATTCATACAGTTTTTCTAATTAACATAGAATTGGTCAGGATGCAGTCTAGCTGTATAGCTGCTATCTCACATCAGTTGTAAAAATTGCTTAGCATTCATTAAAAGTGTTATTTAGACAAAGCCATCAAAGAACTGACTTAAGCCCCTAGTTTTAGAATTGTATTTTAATTCTTTTGATAAGTATTTTTTTTATATATATAATTAGAAAATGTTGATTTGACTTTTTAATTTTTTCATTGCAGGGAAGAAGTTGATGAAAAATTGTCCAATACTTGTGATGGTACATTCCTTGTGAGAAATTCTTCTAATAAAGGTTCTGGAGAATATACATTAACATTAAGGTAAGAATAGTAAAATATAATTACTGAAACTTAATATTTGCTATATAATTCAAAAGTTGTGAATGTTGACAGATGATTTAAATTTCNTTTTTGCAATACCGGACCCTATTTGCACAAATTCATAAAAGCGGACCCTGGTTGAAAGAATGTGAGTAATTTTTTTTCACAATTTCACGAAAAACGGACCTTTCACAAAATGTCTGGACAGACCCCTGAATTCAAAAGTTGTGAATGTTGACAGATGATTTAAATTTCATTGATGAAATGCAATTCAATTTTAAACTAATGTGATTTAAACATAATTATTTATAGTTCTTTTCTTGACAGAATTTTGTTTATTTTAATATTATACTGTTTAGTAATTGTTTTATTTTATTGTGAGTAGTAAAATAATTTCATTAATTTAAAGTTTTCTGTTTAAAAAATGTCCCCTCGGAGCACTGTTAACAATAAGAAAATGTATATAAAGTACTATATGTCTATGAGTATTATGAAGAATATCTTTTTAAGATAAAAAAATCTTCTAAAATAGTTACCATTCCTTTAAAAGTTTTAATAATAGGTGAAAAACATTTATTGACTTAGTATTTGTTGCAGTTTTTTTAAAAAATAATTTGTTTTTCTACTATGACGTAAGTACTAAATATTTTTAATTGAACAATGGCAATATAATTGATTGTTTACAGTGTGATTTCATTTGCTTATAGTGATTCCGCTTATGCGCTATACTACAAATATACCAAAAATCGTAGGGGGATATGAAAAATAAGTTAACAGTTCGTGGACATAATAAAGAAATGTCACTCAAATTTATGTACTCAAAATTAAAACCAAACTATAAATATAAATACAAGAACATTTCTTTTGTTGAAAGAAAAAATTAGACTTATTCTGAGTATCAAATTACAGTTGCTTTTCCTTGATCAGCCCTTATCAAAACCGTTGATTGCTCATATATAACTTTTTTCTTGTTTTGAAATTCTTTATTTTTTTCTATCGATAGATATAATAGTTATGAATATGCATATTAATATATGGATAAAGAAGTTGAGAATTCATATTTTGAATCGGGGCAAGTTTTTAGTAAAAAGAAATGTAGAAATAAGGAAGTCCTGGGGTCCTAAGGACCTTAATTACCAATGTTATTAAGTCTATAAACTGCCAAACCAAACTGAAAAAGTTTTTGGTGTGTTTTAAAAATATTATACTTGTTTTGCATATAATTCCTATTTGTGAATTTTGGTTATTTCTTAGTAAATGAAAGACAATTTCTACTCATCAAAAATTGAAAAATTAATATGAATTAAATAAAATTTGCTCTCAACTTATAATACATTTTCATAATATAGTATTTAATTTTTTCTTACTTTGTTTAGTTAACAAACTTATGCTAAAAATGTGAAACTGATAACTTGTATTTAGTGTATTCTGTGCATTACTATTAAAAGTAATATCATATTTCCACGTGTTTGAATTTCATAAACATTCGTTTACAGGAAAGGAGGTAGCAACAAACTAATAAAAATCTTCCACCGTAATGGTAAATATGGCTTCTCTGAGCCCCTGTCCTTTTCATCAGTAGTAGACCTCATAACACACTATCAGCATGTCTCTTTAGCTCATTACAATCATACATTAGATGTTAAGCTCATCCACCCTTTCACCAGGATTTCTCAGGTAAGGCTTTTTTGAAATCTTATACTTCATACCGTTAAATAAATTACAATAATCATGTCAGTATCGGTAGTAATTCACTCTGCTTAAGTAGAAGTGGTAAATGTTTGAAGTTATACAGCATTATTTTGTTCAATTTCTTAAAAGATTGTTTTCTCCTAACGAATGACCCATGTGTGTATGAACCTTTATATACATAGGATATACGTGACTTATGCATACAAGTATAAGGCCTACGTCTGATTCTGCCACAAAATGTATCAGATCTGGATACCCTAACTCGATTCTGGGTGCATTAACTCGATTTTGCTCAGAAGTGATATTTAAAAAAAAATTTTTTTAATAGAAACGACCAAAAAGGGAAAATTTTCTGTGTAAGCCTTAGAAATAGCAATACAGTACAGAACCCGTTATCCGGAAATCAGAAAACCAAAAAACCGGAACTAAATTCGAAAAATTTTCCCGCCATTTTTTTAAAAAAATAATTTTTTTCCCCATAAGATTTTAGGATTTTTCTTTCTTTTTTGAAAGATGTTTACTCATTAGTGTATTACTTCATTGTTTTTTCTTCTTTTTAAGATTATTTCCAAATATTGTTTTTTTAGTTTAGTTTGACAATAAAAAAAACGGTTTTTTGTAGCGATTCAGAAAACCGGAAAAATCAGTTATCCGGAATAGCGATGGTCCCGATCGTTCCGTATAATCGGTTCCCTACTGTACTAATAAGTAGCCAGTAGAGTACAAAATATTAGAGTCAGTAATTTTGATTATCAAAATTGAGCTAAAATATTGCATTTCATACTATTATGACTTCTTATTACCTAGTTTAAAATATAATAATAATTATTTGTATTTTCCTTGTACAATCGTGAATTTTTCTAAAACAATATTTTTAACAAGTAAATCTATCAGGGCAAGAAAAAGGTATATTTTTTTTTAATTTAAATTTTAAAAAATATTAATGCTTCAGATTTGAAACATTTTGTAAATTAGTTTCGCTATATATAACTATACCTATTTGTGTGAGCAATGAAAATAGTGATACAGTCGGACCCTGTTCCAGTAAACTGTCTGCTAACACAGGAATAGGTCCACTATTGTGGTTCTCCATTACAAATTTTTTGAAAAATTATTTTTTAGCATATGACAATAATATTGTCGGAAACAGTTATTAGGATAGTATATAATTTGTTCATATATTATGCATTTTTGCAACAACTTCAAATAATTTTGCAGGACTCCAACAGTAGAATATTGCGGTCATTGAATCAGGATTTCCTAAATGCTGCTCAATTATATGACAAAGTTTACAAAGACTTTGACAAAATGCAGAATGAAATACTTCTGAAGGAGAACGTCTTAGAAGCAATTAGAGACTGTATTGGACTGCTTGAAAGTCAGCTTGAAGAATACCAAAAAAAGCCTGGTGAAGTTCCGTAAGTCTTTATTTCTGTCAGCTTCTTTTTTTTTTCTTCGTTTTCTTATTTAAACAGTTTCACTGAGGTTTTTTTTCTTATTCGAATTGCTCCGCTATTTTTTTTTTTCTTAAACGTCCCATGTAGTTTTTTTTCTTATCTTAAATTTAAAAAAAAATTAGTCTTTATAACTGATTAAGTATTTATAAAGTTTAACCAGAAGAAAGTTATTAAAATAAAACATTTTTCATGCAAGAGGCTTCTTGGGGGGAAGATCTTATTTTTCTCTACAACATAAATTTATTTTGCTTGAGTTTAAAATTTTGTAGATCTGGTGTATATATGTACAGTGAAACTACACGTTACAGACACTTCTACGAAACTAATTCCTCTTATCTTTAACCTTTTTTTCCCGTTCTCTGTGAATCTTTTATGAATAATAACCATTATGCACCCTCTGCCAAAAGCATGCATCCCTTTGCCTGAAACGTTATAACGTTTACAAGACTTTTTCAATGGCAAATAATGGCTACAAGAGTGATAATGAAGAAACTGATGCTTCCTGAAAAAGAAGCGAAGGTTAAAACTTAACGTGATGATGAAATTTTTATTCAGGAACTGGGGCATTTTTTCTTTCCAAAAATGATTAAGTTTATGTAAAAATGATTTAAAAAAAGTACTATGAAAGATATGGTAAGTCGCAGCCACTTAACATGAATATCGAGAACCTAGAATTCAAGGATTGCTTAACTGCTGGGCAGGGATAATTAGCACGGAGGATTTTTTCATAGGAAACATGAGAACTTTGTCTATTCTTTCTGTGCTGTAAATATTATAATTTAAGTTTAAATAAATATCAGTGTAAGAAGTTATAGATTATTTAGCTATTTCTATATTTTAGCAATTATTTCAGAGTTCTTCCTAGGATTCAAAAAGGGCAGGGTGCTGCCATTCAGAAAAGGGAACTCATTTGAAACTGTAAAAATTTATCAAAATGTGTAATATTTGGTGATAAATGAGTTTAGACAACAGTAATTTTAAAAGTACCCTCTTAAAATATTTTATCTGTATATTTCAAAAAATAGTTCTTTCTTATCATGAGAAAAATTTGTAGTGTATAAAATAATTAAAGACATTCTAATAGACAATCTCTGGGCATAAATATTTTTCAAAATAGTAAATTAAAAAAAAATATTTATTGATAAAGGACTTGAAAGCTTTTTATATAATTTAAACTGAAATCTATCAAAAATAAACATTTAAAGTGGCATTTTTTTAAAAAGGTGTTCATTTAAAAAATCATTTTAACAATTAAAATAATTTAAAAATTTATTAGTATCCACCCCTTCTTGAAAAAGAGAGATGCTTATAAACATTTTACGAGTTGAAAAAAATCCAATCAAAATAAATATTTGTAACATTATTAATTAAACTTATTAGCAGAATTAAACCTATAAACAAAGATAATTTTACCAGTGTGCAGTTGGACGTAACGTTGGAGCATAACGAGAGCAACAGTTGGATGGAGCATAACGAGTTGAAAAAAATCCAATCAAAGTAAATATTTGTAACAGTATTAATTAAACTTATTAGCAGAATTAAACCTATAAACAAAGATAATTTTACCAGTGTGCAGGGTTGCCACAGGCGACTAAAATGCAACTATTTGCAACTATTTTTGGCATGAGGCGACTATGGCAACTTTTTTTGCCTGAAAAGGCTAAAAAAGCAACTATTTTCAAGAAAAGGAGACTATTGGGAGACTGTTTTGTAATCCTAGAGATGTTGTTTTTTTTCAAGCATAAATTGGTGAAAAATCTGCGCCCCGCTAGATAGTTCCTAGACACACTGAACTTTTTTTTTCTTAAAAAATAAAAAATGTTAAAAATTTTGAATTGCAAATTTGAGTCTTCACTTTTTAATTCGTTCAATCTGCACAAATTCCATTGTAAGTCTATTTCATTTCTCGATCACCTTTTCAATGATTATTGCTAAAAAATTCTGCATAATTTTTTTTATTTTAAAAAAAATAAATTATTTTTTAACGGTATTACAATGCATGAATTTCGAATTTCAGTAATCACTTTTCATATATATATATATATAAGCATTTATATGAAAATTATCATATTTGCCACCAACTTGACTGAATGGATGATGTTATATGACAATTAAGTCATTAACAAAATTTTAGTCATATTTTTGATGAATTTTTGTTCTTGTTAGGCAACTATTTTCCTAGTTTTTGACTACTATTTTCATGCTTTAGGCTACTAAAAGCAACTATTTTGTTCATTTTTTTCTGTGGCAACCCTGAGTGTGTAATTATTATTTAAACAGTGAATATTTTTTTTAAAAAGTGGAATATGAATAAAAAAGCAATGTTTTTTTGGGGGTGGCAAATTTTTTTTTACATAAAACACAAAGAGGGCTCATTTATAGAGATCAAAAGGCAAGCAGGGCTGACCGCTCATCTAAAAACACTAATGGAGAACATTGTTACATTACAAGCAATTAAAATAAGCTTTAAAGATTTTGCTAATGAGAAGCTAACTGTGCATGTTTTTATTTCTTAGTGTGTTGACTACTATGTAAGACACGCCTTACTTATTAAATATTTTGAAGTTTGATATTAACAAAATAAAATTTTTTTGGTAGATGCAAAGATATTGAATCTATGAAGAGAAGGATATTATCCCTTCAAAATCACCTTCAAGAGCAAGACAGTGCACTTAAGCCTCTAATGTCCTTCTACCGCACATTAGAAAGGGAAATTTCTGCCCAGAAACCAAATTTGATCTCATTATATAAGCAAAGGTCAGTATTACTGTAAATGTAATTATCTATTTTCTTTCCAGTTCGAATATTTTGTTTTGCTACAATATATATTTTTTTATATAAAATAAACTTCAAAAATCATAACAAACTTTTTGTTATATCAGTGATACCCTGCTTTTTAAAAGCTACAAAACACAATTTTTGGAAGATTATAAAACAAAGTTTAAGCAATTATGCTTCACAAAAGCTGTGCTTTAAAATTACCATTTTTCAAAAACTGTTTAAATGATTTTGTTCAAATTTTAGATTTTATAAAAAAAATTTATTATTAATTAAAGAATGATTAATTAAAAATTATTAATTGAAGAAAAAAATTATTCAAGAAAATCCTTTTTGTGCTGCTAAAAACTTATATTAGATATTTAAATACTTTATTAAATTAAATGATAAAGTTATAAAATCTACAAGTAAATTTACACAAGTAGCATGAAAGATCAATTCAATATTTTCCTTCTTTATTGTTCAATATATCCTTTTATTTTTGTGTACTTCAATATCTACAACTAAAGCCAAAAGATTCTGTTAAGATTTTTCTTAGTTATTTGAAATTAATCTTGGAAAAATAACTTTTCCAAAAATTAATGGAAAAATAACATTTCTTTTAATTTTTTCTTACAATCTGCAAAGTCATGATAATTTTTTTCTTGTTTTTACAAGTATCAGATTTTAATTTTGCTAGTTTAGAAATAAAGATTTTCTAGAAATAACATAGTAATATTTTTAACTGTCGAATTTTTCTTGTAATTTTTTTGTTTCAACAATTGTTTTAGAATTGCTCAAATTTATCCTAACTTTTGGCTTTTTATTAATCGTTATTTGTTTATATCTTAAATTTTCCTTTTTATAGTCATATGTATATGTTTGTTAAGATATTTACTAAGTTATTTTGATATATTTAGGCTGATTTCAACTCAAGATCAATCTAAGGAAAGTATTAATCAATTCTTACAAGATCCATGCAGTACGAAAAAAAGTACCTCGAAGTAAGTTAATTTATTAATGTGTTATGAATATGTGCTTAACCCTTTTTTTACAGCACTTAACCTTATGAAGCTTATCATTCTTCTCCACTTGAACCAGCCATAAACAAAAGATCAGATTTTTCCTTCTTCAATTTGTTGATTATAAAGTTTATTGTTTTGAAATCGCACTTTAGTGTAGAATTAAATTTGCATTTTCAAATGATGTGTACTAAACTAAATATTATACCTAAATGTAAGCCATTTAAAACTCCAAATTCTTATTATATGTTAAATAACACTTTGTTTACTAGTGGCTTAGAATAGATTTTATACCTAATATATATTATAATAAGTAGGAATTAGGTTGTCAAGATTTAGCCTGATTGTTGTACCTTTTAGATGGTTTCAATTAGTTTAAGAGTTAATTTTTTCAATTAATTCATATTTAGTAATGAAAATGTTCATCAAATGCTTATTTATTAATTACTTTTTACATATGTCTTTTTACTTTGGTATATTAAACTTTCTCATTTTTAAAAATTCTGGGTAAATTAAAATAAAAATTAAAGATCCTCCTATGACTATCATAGTTATAGAACTATGCCACATTAAAAATATTTGAATGATTTTCAAAACTCTTGCAAGAAATTTTTTTTTCAAAACTGATTTAAAACTTTTAACTGTACATTATATTTTATTTTTGATTATTATTATTTTCTTTCAAATGTCTTTAATTTTCATCTTAATATTTCAAAACTGAAATTTTTTTTATCTATTATTAGTGTTGCTATTAATTATTATTATTATAAACAATTGACTTTTTAGCATTCTTATGCTTTTATGTTATTTTGTTTGTATTGTGATTAGGACTTGATGTTAGAATTTAATCAAAAGATGATTTTATGAGGCATTAAAAAATTTTGGCCTTTGAAAATTCATGGTTTTTCTTCTAATATTTTTAAGGTGATAAAATTTTGTTTATTAAAAATAATTTTTTTTAACTGTGGAAATTTGTTTATTAGGCGTAAAGGAGATTTCGGACAGTGATATGCTAGAAAATTTTATGCTTTCATTCAGATATATATAGATTTTAAAAGAGAAATACCAAGATAAAAAAGTTAAAAGTTGATGGCATGAAATTTCATTTACGTTTGTTTGTGTGTTATGTTTCAGGTTTTGACATGATTTTCTAAGTTCATAATCTTATATATTTTTTTTTTCATATTTAGAGTTGTCTCTGTTAAAGAACTTCCTCATAATAATGAGACTACGTGGCTGCTGCAAGATTGCTCTCGAGCTGATGCTGAGAAATTACTTGCTGGTAAACTCAATGGGACTTTCCTAATCAGAAATAGCCGAACCGGGGATTTTGCTCTGTCTATTGTGTAAGTTGTAACAGTTAGAACATTTTTATTTTTGTACTTAACTAAGTTTTTAAATAAAATAACTTTTAGATATTTATTATTGCTTTTTTAGGGGACATCTGTGAAGTGAATAATATTTCATGTTAAAACTATTTTTTTAATGCTGTTATTTCCTTGACACTCGGTATTATGCTTTATTACAAAGCTTTGAAACTGCATTTTTTCACAGTATTTGAAACATCTTATAAAAAATAAAAATATAGGTAATTTCAATTTAAACCAAACGAAATTAAGTTTTAGCCTTTATTTTTTAAAATGCATTAAAAATCTTTATAATTCAAACCTTGAAACAAGTAGATTTACTGTATAGTGTTTTGTGTTATATAAATCATTTCACATACTTTTAAAAGTATCCATTAAGCATGACAATATTAGTATGGGAACAGATCAGTCTTAAAATACTTTCAAATAATTTTTAGATAGAAGTACTTAAAGGCACAAGTACCCATTTTGGTATTTAAACAAATTGTAAATTATTAACAAATTTATAAATTTTGCTTATCTTTTAAAATTATAATCTTGTAGCAAATAATTAAATGTAAAAATTTAATAGCTCCTGCCTTAATTGGAGATATTACTTAACAGGAAATTTCATTAATTGCACCTGTGAAATTAATTTACCTGTACTTATACCTATAACATTAATGACTTATGGAGAATGGCAGGTTTTCTACTGGGACACTTTAAGTAGTTTCAGAACTTTATTTATATAATTTACTGTTAATTGCAATTTCTTATGTAGAGATATTTGCTTGTACATAAATAACACTTTTTTGAATTATTAATTTATCGAATTGATTGAGGTTTGAAATATTTTATGTTTTCTTCTTATACTTGTTTTTTAATTTTTCAGTGTGAATGGTTCAATTGGTCATTGTTTGATTCGCAAGACGGATGATGGGTATGGATTTGCTGAACCTTACAACGCCTTCCCAACCTTAAAAAATCTTGTTCTTCATTACGCACAGACCTCTTTAGAGGATCATAATAGTTCTCTAAAGACGACTTTAATGTACCCAATATTTTCTTCAGAAAGTGAACAATACGTGAATATTGCCAGCTAGGTTTTGATCACCTTTTTTCTATTACTCATAAAACCTAGAGTTTAAAGAAAATGGAAGTTTTCTATTGCCATAAATTTTGAAAACTGAAAATTCCCTAGAGTGTGAACAATTGTAAATTTTCTCAAATGGCATCTGTTACGACATGTTAATGGTTAAAGTTCATATTTTCTGTTTGGACTACAAACTTAGATAAATTAGACAGACATTCACTATATTGCATATTTTTTGTTATGATTGCATAAATTTTTTTGGGTAAGATTGTGAATAGCAAACTGAATGACTGATATATTTTGTTTGAATTATCAGATGGACTTGATTGTAATAATTTCAACAAATATCCTATTAAACGGTGATAGTCTATATCAGAACTGCTGAAATAGGCATGACAAATCTTTCAGAGAAGAAAAAAAAAACTTGTCCCAAAGAATGTGTTTAAAAAAGAAAATCTTTTACTGTGATAACCACTAAAGCTTAAGAGAGTACTTATTGGTTTATAATTATTTTTTGTGCAGACTTTTTTCATTGCTAGAGGTGCAGCTGCTTCAAAAGAAATGCCAAAGGCATAAAAATGTGTACATATTTTTCACCATGTTTCACTCTTGGACTGATTTGCATCTATTTGATAGTATTTTTTACTATAGAACAGATAATTGATGTCTTTTTTCCCCCTGCTGTATGTAATCTATTTCAAAATATCATTTTGCATAGCATTTGATGGCTTTTTTATTAGTAAATGTGGCACCTATAGAATTCTTGAAGATTTTTTTTAACTGTTTTTTTTTTTATTTTGTAGAAACAATAAAAAAATGTAGTTGGTTTGCAGTTTTTCTTGTAAAATATTGTTTATGTAATCAAATGGAATATTTATATTTTCTTTGAAATGAAAAAGTGAGCCATTAGAAATAAATTTATTGGTGCATTATGTATTTCATTTTTTTATACTTTTTATGATGTCAAGTGCTTGATGTAATTTCATTATCAGATCTGTAATGTGTCCAATAAATTTTCAAAAATGCTACACTTCTTAATTCCAAAATTTGTGCAATCGAAACTTTCTTTATGTGTCATATCTTTATTAGTCAAAGGTAAAAAAGAAAATTTAATATGGCATGCTATATATATTGTTATGGAATAAAATGTATAGCTTTTAAAGTTATTTAAAATTTTTGTCTGAAAATTTTATGGATTTACTTTATTTTTAGTTATTTTTTCCCCTAAAAATTCTATGCTCCACACTATGTATATCCTTATACAGAAAATGTTTTGCTAGTCATTATGTATTTTTTTTTTAAATGAAAAAATGTAAAGCTGTTTAAAAAAAATGAAATCAAAATCTGAAGTGTATCATGATTCATTTTTAAAGTGTAGCATGATTTTTTTTAATGAAACTCTGTAAAAAAAATTTTCAATTGTGATATGATGTAAAGTTTTTGGATGCTAATCAAAAGCATTGAAATTCTGACTTGCAGAATTGTAAGAGCTGTTCCAAAAGCAATCTGGCAAGTGTCCCATCTTTCTGTGCAGAGTACAAAAGAACTGAGGGATTTTGCCCAAAAATTTCATAAGTACTTTAATAAAAGCTGTTTTTTTTTAAATCATAGATTTGGTTTTATTTATTATCTTTGATACTATCTTAAACACATTGATAATTTTAATTATAATTCTGAAATAGTTATTTTATCTAGTTTTCCAACTAATATCTAATTTAACTTTTTTTTGTTACCATGTTCTTTTTATTGGATTCAACTGAACTAAATGTTTCGTAGTGATGTGGTACATTTAGTTTTTTTGAATCCAATGAAATTGGGAACTTGAATCCTTTGAAACTGTGCTGGTTTATCTTAGTAACTGCAACCTGTTCCAAAGTAGGACATTTTTACTCAATATTTTTCCTAACGTATTCTAATCCTGTTTTAAACTGCAAGCATTTTTTATAATTGCAAAATTGTTTTCACAAATATTTTTCATAATTGCGAAACAGGTATATTAACAAAGGTATATTAGTTTTTTTTCTTTTGCGAAGTTGCGATTTGAAATAAACATTTTATAATTGTTAAATTATTTGTGCTATATTCAAACAAAAAAAATATTGAAATTGTGAATAGAATAAAAATATTATAGATATATGCATTTCATTGTAACTTTTCTATTTGTTTTTTAAATCCTTTTCAGAAATGAAATCCTTTATTAACATTTAAGTGAGAAAAACAAAGCAAACAAAAATGCTATCATAATCTAACAAATAGTAATTATTGAGGTAAACTTAATTAATTTTAGAAATAAAAGCCTTAAAAAACTAGTTATTTTGATGAAATTGATAAATTAACACCTTTCTATGAGAATTACAATTCAATTATACCCAATAAATAAACTGGTTTCTATTTACTTTAATTCCATTATTACCTTTATTAATGATTTTGCAGTAATTATCTTATTTTAATTATTTTTTCATTAAAAATTATTTTTTCTCAATGAAATATTTAATTGCGACTCCTAATGCTTCCATGTATTGATTACAAAATGTCCTATTTTTGAATAAATATTTAAATTTACATAGCTCCTTTCAGGCAAGACGAACCATGTATTGTTAAAAATTAGTGTTGCTTGCACTCGTGGTATCTCTAATTAACATGTGCTTCCTGGACAATGTTAATTGAGTTACAGATGCAGCCCAAAATCACTTCCATGTCTGCTCTCTGTTCACAATCATTGACGGCCTTCACACAACATTTAATTTACTTTGTATGTACTATGATGTTAAATGGGTAATAGCCAACATCGCCGGGCCCTCAGCATGAGAAATAAAGTAGTGTTAAAAATTTTTTTTGACAATTTAAATTACTTAGATGCTGTACTTACTAAATAATTGTGCAGAAATGGCTTAATTTTTTATGTATTAATGTGCTCTTGCTTAAAACCTAATCTGAAAATAGAATTAAGTATTTGAGGTTTACAATTATTCAATTAGTAACTTCAAGAATGGTTTTGTTTTGTAAAAAAAAAAATCTTTTTATATTTGTAAAAACAAACTTTAATCTAAGCATCTGCTTTTAAAACTTTTTAAAATACATAGTTTAAGCGTCAGGCCTTTTTTTTTTCTTCTTTAGTTTCCTCAGAACTAAAACTTTTACTGGGTATGTAGCGTTTTTAAAAGATGTTTTTTTCGAATTTTGTTTTTAAAAAGTGCTTAATTTTTCCTCTTCCAAAAAAAGATTTTTCTTTCTTTTTCTTGTTTATTATCACCATGAATTATGCAAAAAAGACATTGTTTACATTGTAAGAACAGTTTGAAATTTTGGTCTTATTCATACAAAACTGAAAAATGAACTTGGTGTACAGAGGGCAGGGAAGTAAATGAAAACTGATTTTACGTATAAAAAATAAGATGATTGTTAAGTGTTTTTTATAAGATAATTATTTTTGTCTCCAATAATTAAACAAAGTGAGTGATCAATTGCAATTTGACACATTTTGATTTATAATTATTTAAAATTTTCTATGACAAAATTTGGGTTTTTAACAGTAATTTTCAAAATAAAAAAAACTTTTATGTTAAAATAATTCAAGAACATAATTGTTTGAACACCTGTTAATTTACATATATGTTAACTTAAAATTACTTCATATTTATAATAGCTAGTAATTATCCTTCGGTGAAAATTTTGGGTTTTTCACAATTTTTAAAAATTATGTCAAAAGGTTTTTCTTTACATGATGGTTAAAACCTTCAAGTGTCAAAAATTTGCCAATCCTGCCTAATTATGATATTTTTTAAAGTGCTTAAAAATACTTTTTTTGAGTGCTTAAAAGGTACTTATTTTTTGTTGAAAAATTTGGCTACGCACCTTGTTTTATCGGAATCACTTGGTTTTAATTTTGTACTATTGTTTTTGTAAAATAAAATAATTTATTAAAAAGAAAAGGGAATAACGTCTCAATTTAATAAATATAGATGACTTTGCGTATGTTTTCATCTAATATGCTATTCTACTACAGTAATAAAATATTTAATATTTTACCGATATTTTTTTTCTCTATAAACTGGTTTTGATATTTGAAAAACATGAATTAACCATTGCACAAATAATATGAGTTGAAGTTAAATAGCATTCATATTTCCCTTTATGCTCACTTATTTACCACTATTATTTTGCCATTCCTCCTAACTTAGATTACTGCCAAATGTTCAATATATAAAACCAAAGAAAAGTTTTTTGCAAATAATTTTTTTTATGAATCTTTAAAACGTTAATTTGAAAATTCAATTTTTTTTTTTAAAAAAAAGCTATGATTGAAAAGTGACACTTATTAGGATATATTTTATTAAAGAAAAAGTTTGTATTACATTTATAGTAGTTACAAATAATTTGTTTTCATTCCTAAAGGAACAAAACTAAATACTACTAATGATGTGTTTCTGTATATGTTTGCCTATTAAATATTTTGAATAATATTTCAGTTAGGCGAGAAATAATAGTTTAACATTATACTGTTTGTTTTTGTCAGTTCAGAACGAAAATTTGAAAGAGGAGTCGTTTTCTGGTGATTTAATACCACTTGATCCACCAAAGTTGAAAACAAAGTCAGATTTTTTGTTACTTTCATTGTCGTTTTTGCTGGCATCTGCAGCAAAAAGAGGAAAGAAATCTTTTGGTTGTGCTGGAGATTTTGGGGAATCTTGTCCAAATGAAAACATAGATTTTTCTTTCCCTGTTTCTAATGTTAATGGTGGGGAATCAGCCAAATAATCGTAATCATCAAAAGACAAAAATGTATTTTTTTCTTGGTTTTTCTCAGGCTGTAAGTTGTTGCTCAAGTTAACCATGTTGATGAATGGCACTGGCTCAAACAAAGTATCTACGGATATATCTCTCAAACTGGCATCTTTTTGGTTTCCTTGTACTGATGTTTTTGTGGTGTACATAAAGCGAGATGGATAAGTGAAATCTGGTGATTTATTAATTTCATTAATAACCTGCCTGTGTTTCTCTAAATCAAAAGGACTTATTCTTGGTGCCATCTGTTCTGATTTATCTGATTGGGGTCTCTTGCCTGAGGAGTTATCTTCAGCTTGTGGTGTATTATATACCTCAAGGGATGTGGAGTGATCACTAACTGTAGAATTCCCTGTATCATTAGTTTCCATTGATGTATGGAATGTTTGTTTATTTGCCTCACTACTCACTGGTTGATTAATTTTATTTGTCGTTTGTTTGATCTGTTTAATTAATGGTCTGTCTAGTGAGGATCTTAATTCTTTAGTTTCACCCATAATATGAGATGTAAAAGGTATTTCCATAGGTGTGTGGAACTCTTCCATATTTTCCTCATCACTTGCTGATTGATTATGTCTGTTTATTTGTTTGTACTGGTTAATCAATGGTTTGTTTGATGAAGACTGTTCTTTAGAAGTTTCTGTAATAATAAGCGAAGTGAGAGATTTTTCATTTGATGTATATTTGGGAGTGCTTGGACATTTTGCTTGGTTATTAATTTCCATAGATATGGAGAATATGTGTGTGTCGTTCTGTACATTCTTAGTCATTGCATTTGATATTTGAGTTTCTTCAACTTCCATTGGTTTATCCCTTGGAATCATTTGTGACTGTGTTGTTGGAGAATATTCTACTTCCATTGATTGATGACTAGAAGCTGATTCTTGAGTAATAACATTCTCTTGAGAAGATTGTGTTTGTTTTTCTCTACTTTCCATGCCATTATTAATATCAATTAGATTCTCTGACATATTTTGGTCCAGAGGTGAGAAAACTGTTGTTATAATCTCGCCATCGCCATTCATTTCTGAATATTCTTGTCTGTTGGTTTGTGAGGAAGCGAATGGTTTTAGCAATTCCAATTTATCAACCGAGGATGCCAATTCATTGTTGCTTATTTGTGAAATCTTGATATTTTTTGGAGCACTTGTCTTCTGATTTGACTCCTTGTTAATATTGCTGATTTGTTGCTTTACAATAGTAGCACATTCAATATTTGCCGTATTAGCTTGATTTTCTGACATATTTAAATCTTCAGGGCTTGCATTAGTTTCTAAATTTTTGTGCGTTTTAGTGCTTGAAAATATCTGTAAACTATCCTCTGAAGTAATACTTATATAGTTATCTTTTGATTTTTTATTTTGATTGTTGATATCTCTTTTTTCGATATGATCTTGATTTTCTGACTTATCAAAGAGATTATTCGGATCTTTGAAACTTGCACTATTTTCCCCTTTATTCTTTGAAAAATAGGGAGAGGTATCCTTCAATTGTATTTTACCTATTGAAGAGTTTCTAGTTTTGGGGGATTGGTTAATAGAATTTTCTTCTTCATCAGTATGGATTTTGTTTAAAGGGACAAAATTCATTGTCTTCAGAAATTGAGTTCCAGGCATTGTTGCATACATATTTTGATCTCTCGTTTCTATCTCTATTTCATTGCTTATGGAGTTCTCTTTATTAATAAGTGCAAAATCCATTCTCTCTTGAAAATGACTTTCAGGCATTGGTGCATTCTTATTTTGATCTCTTCTTGGACTTGTGTGATTTGTTTCTGCTTGAAAATTTGTTCGCATTATCCTTATTTTATTGGGTTCATTGTCTT